GATGGATGGATGAATGAATGAATGAATGAATGAATGAATGGATGGATGGATGGATGGATGGATGTCCTTAGTTGAACAACAGAGAACTGAATCCTTCAGGTGCTTCAACTGGCGCAACGAGACTGGAGCAGGAGGAGGAGAGTTCAGCTCAGAACCATGAAGTGATGGGGGGAGGAGGGGGGTTTAGGACACCTGACAGAATCAGAGCTACACAACCTGCTGTTCTTCTCCAAAATACTAATTTTATCAAGTGTCTACAAATGTAGGTAAATGTTGATGTATAACAATCTGTTAAAATACACCAGAATGCACAAAATGGCATCTCTGTGATTCCACATTTTCTGAGAGGACCCACTATCGGCCCATAGTTTTAGCCAGTGGAGAGGATTACACTGAATGAGACAGAACATGTTCTCCTGACTTCTGAGAACCAGTTTGGTTTTAAATCAGGTCATGGTACAGATATGTGTATTTTCACTTTGAAAGAGATCTTGGGTTTGTATAATCCACACAACTCTACAATGTTTACATGTTTTATTCATGCCTGAAAAGCTTTTGACCGGCTTAATCATCAGAAGTTATTTTATAAGTTATACAACAGAGGGGTTCCTGGATCTATAATTAGAATTCTGTCCTTTTGGTGCGCTCATCACTTAATGTACATAAGATTGTAATCCTTGTGTGTCAGCTCCTTTTACAATAAGGAATGGGCTCAGACAGGGAAACATTCTCTCTCCTCTTTTGAATGTGTACATGGATGATTTATCAAAGTGGCTACAAAGCTGTGGGACAGGGTGTGGAACCATAATAACCATCTCATGTATGCAGATGATCTGGTTATTTTTAGTCCTTGTCGTGCTTGTCTTGAACAATTATTGAGGACATCCTGATGCATGCTCAATAATCCAGGTAGAAAAATCCAAAAAAGTTCAATCTGGTCCTCTGGACGTTCAAAAAAACCAAAAAACAAAACAAAGCAAAAAAATATAGAAACGTTTCGTCTCTCATCCAAGAGACTTCCTCAGTCCAAATTTCTGGCGTCTGTACTCATCCCTTTAGTTGGCAGCTCAGAACACCACA